TTTTGTGTAAGAATAATTTTGCATGCCATGTGTCATTTTCTCCTCATCCTATTTAGTGACATGACATCAACATGAGAGATAAAACTTAACTTTATATAATAAGATATATTTTTTAGTCCCCAAAATAATATTTTAACTAATAACCATTTAAACTATAGTATTATTATTCATGGATAAACCATTAAAAGCATTAACTCATTAACTTAAATGAATTATGGGTTAACCCAAACCATTTCTCAAATGGACTGAGATTAAACCATTTGGATATGGTTTGGTTTACTCATTATGACACCTTTAGTTTTGGCTAAAATAAATGGGGACCTGCTTAACCCATTTACAGATTTTATGTAACTTAAACCTCATAAATGAGTTTTTCCGCCAAAATCATAAAATGGAGTTTTTGCCCAAATCACAAAATAAAGGTTTCCGCTAAAACCGCAAAATCTAGTTTTCCACAAAAATCATTAATCAAACTTCCCACCAAAACCATCAAATCAAGTTTTCTGTCAAACACACAAAATCGATTTTTCCCGACAAAACCGCAAAGTGGTTTTTCCCGTCAAAATCGTAAAGAGGTTTTTCCCGCCAAAACCGTAATATCAAGTTTTTCGCCATAATCGTAAAATCAAACTTTCCCATCAAAACCAAAAAATTGCATTTCCCACCAAAATCGTAAAATCATGTTTTCCCGCTAAAATAAAAAAAATCGAGTTTTGATGCCAAAATCACAACAACAAAAAAGAGTTTTTCTGCCAAAACCATAAAACCGCATTTTTCCGCCATAACCAAAAATCATTTTTTTGTTAAAAGTGTAAAATCGTGTTTTCCGCCAAAACAAAAATTGAGTTTTTCTACCAAAATAAAATAATTGATATTCCCACAACAACCCAAAGTTGAATTGCTCGCTAAAACTTAATAATCAAATTTATTTTGTTTCAGTCAAAATTTGTTGGAGTTCATAAAGAAATTTTTTGAAAAAAATATTTATGGTAAGCTGTTTTACAAAAAGAATTAGAACAAAAAGTATAATAAAATGGATTAGTATAAAATCCAGCAGAGCTAAATGGATACTCTTAATAGACCTATTTTTAAATGGGTTAAAATGAGTATGTGTTGAAAATGGAATCTAAACTATTAAAGGGGAAGTACAAAAAAAAATAAACCTTAATTTTCCTCAAAAATTACATACTTATGCCACTGACATAACACATGTAGTTTTATTCTTATATAGGCGTCCACTAGTTTTAAATCAAAACCAAATTGTCCAATTCAATTTTAAAAATGACATCTGTTAATAAAATTGCTAGAGTTCTTACTTGTGAATATTTTTAATTATTGCTATCTAAATAATTAATTTTTTAAAGAAATATCTATAAAATCTGATTTTAAATAATAATTTCAATCACAAAGTTATAGAATAATTTAATAAATCACACACAATCTAAACAAGATATTCTAATATTTTACACTTAATTGTTTATAGTTTATCAAGTAAAAAAAGTACGATATCAAAACCATAACCGAACCTAAAATTTATCTTAATTATAGAGAACATAACCATTGTAAATAAAATTGCTAGAGCTCTTATTTTTGTAAAAAAAAAATTAATTGTTGCTATCTAAATAATTTATTTTTAAAGAAATATCTATAAAATCTGATTTTAAGTAATAATTTCAATCAGAAATTTATAGTATAATTTAATAAAGCACACACAATCTTAAAAAGATACTCTAAAATTTTACACTTAGTTGTTTAGTTTACCAAGTAAAATAAATACGATATCAAAAAATACAGCTTGATAGTTAAAAAAAAAGACACTAAACAAAATGCACAAGATACACCGATATCATAACTCAATAACCTATGAAACATAAATATGAATGTTTTTTATAACTAATACAAACATATATTTGTACAGAACATATATCTGCGCGGGCGCGCGGGTCAAAAGCTAATGAATCTTAAAATGGGTTATTTTAATGGGTGAATTTTACCATTTTAACATCCATAAATGCTCTAAGACAGTAGCTTAATATGATTATGAAGAATACGACTTACATAAGCGCATGGTCCCAAAACCAGTCGTCAAAGCTCCTGCAAGGCAGGAACAGAAGTTCTTATTAAAGAACGTGATTTCACCGAAGATAAAAACCAAATTCTATAGAAGTTTGCGCCACAATCTAGTGGCCCATTTTACAAATCTAATACCATCCATTTGGAGCCCATTCGTTCACTATCTTAATTCATGACTTTGAAATATATATTTACAACAAAATAATCATTTTGAATATATTATTTTGAAGAAATTTTTTGTCAATACTATTGGAGAACTTGTAAAGTAAACAAGTTTAAAATTCAAAATAAAAAGATAATCATGGTTTCGTATGTTTGCCTTCATTAAATCTTTTAGAAACTTTAACATATTTACTATTAGTTTTCATTATTACCAAAATATGTTGATACCTGGTAAATAATTTTTAGTGTTTTTCTGTTTCAGTTTCAATTTCTATTCGTCTCTATCACCATAAATTATATAGGTGTAACCATTAATTTAACAATTATATTAACACCCACAGTAACATGTCGTCCGTACACAAATTAATTTGGTTCAAATGCATTTGCTTAGGCCAACTCAAACAATGACACTAAAACACCAAATTTATTGTAAATTTATCTCTAATTAAATATTAATTTTGACACTATTTCACTAAATTTGGTGTAATATAAATACTATTACACTAAATTTGGTGTAATACAATTCATTACACCAAATTTTTTGAAAATACATAGTTTATTATATTTTATTTAATAATATATTTTAATTATTATTAACTAGTTCAGATTTATAATTAAACCATAATATATTATTATTTGTATTTTTAATTATTTTTAAATATTTATTTATTTTTATTTTTTCTATTAATAAATAACTAAATGAGTAGTACAATTAAATTTATCATACACTAAAATAATATTTTTTTATTTCGTAATATAATTAAACTTGTATTACTAACAAATAAAAATTTCATTAAAAATAAATATATTATTTTGTTATGTGCTTTTCATATTAAATTATTTTAAATTTTAAATATAACTAACATTTAAATAAAATAAAGACCTAAAATATAATATTGGTGAACCAAAAAATATAAATGTAAATAAATTTTAAAAACATAAAACTAGAAAAATTGAAAAAACATTATATCAAGTGTGATAAATAATTATATATCAGTTACAAATAATAAATATAAAATTATTAAAATGGAATTTCATTAGACAAAAACGGAATTATTACTAACAAATACATTTCATTAAAATAAATATATTATTGTCGGAGATGACAAAAACATTAAGACACCAAAACACTAGATTTGGTGTAATCACCAAATTTGATGTGATTGTTAGAGATACCCTTAACTGTGCAATTTTCTTGAAAGATCTTGTTTGAGGCTATTTTTAATCCGAATGTGAGAACATTTTTCCTCAAATCTTCTTCAGGTGACTTTAATGTTTCATTTACCAATTCATAATGCCTGGAAATTTTCCTCAACATAGTATTTGGAAATATAATATGTATATGTAACAAAAAAAATAAACAAAGTAAAATAGAAATATCCATACACAAAATTTCATTTCAGTTACGTTAAGAGATTTTTCTAAACTGTAATAATAAAGAAACATACTTAAAACGATTATTTATATCAAACCCCACACAACACAGATCAAAACGATAGTGTAGATAGTATAATATAGTTAAGTACTAGCTAGATCCAGTGAAACTTATGCTATATGCATGTGTGAGCTGTAAGGTTAGTCCATAAATCATGGGGTCTGTCGTTAAAAGAAGAGAAAGGAAGAACCTTATATATAGACAAGGACCAACCAAGACAGCCCTTTCTATGACTTCTTCCAACTAAAAATGCCATCTGTTCACTTATGATTTCTTCACTCTTCTATAGTGTAGAACCTTATATATTTTTATATAAGGTGTACTATATGCACTCATATTCACATAAACAATCAACAACAAAATTAAATCAGGAAAAATTGAAATATGACCTGTCACAGAAAAAAATATTCGTAAACGATAACTTACGGCTGTTTTGTTGAATGACAACATTGACGTGTAGTATGTAAAACAAATCCCCGCTATCAAAATTACACAAGAATTTTTTTATTTTTTGATAAAAAAATTACACAAGAGTTTAAAAATAGTTTTTTATATTCTTCTAAATATTCCGCCATAATTAAGAAACGTACAATTTTGATGTTCTTAGACCCAAAATAGTTTTCTAAGTTCATTTAGAAAGACCAAAACAAATTTAAATAAGTTATATATGCAAAATAAAACCAGTTATATATGCAAAATAAGTTCTATAAATCAAATTTTAATGTAAGGAGAAATTCTCCAGAGAGACTGCCAATCATAATACTATAGGTTGTAGCAATTTATCTAAAAGTGGTGAATGATATACCATTTTTGACTTATGTGATGTTATTTATCCTTACTATTTTGAACATTCATATTTCAAATGTTTAAAAGTCATTCTGCTATATTATTTGACTATATATAGATATCATGAATCTACTAAAATTAGAATATGTTTGTTTTATCCTTATTCTGCCGAAACATATTTGTTATTATCTTCTATTATTGATCATCTAATATGCAAATCTTTTGTCGGATTATCTCGCCTACACACTTTCTTCACACGTCACAGTTATATGAAAAGACAATATACATCAAAGCAACACCATCCAGTATATTTGGAACACGATATAAGACAAATCCATGGTGATATTATATAAAAATCTTCAGATCTTCTCATGCAATAGTACTAAAAGCCGAAGGCAGATAAAACTCTGATGCAAAATAATCACAAGTCTAAGTTAGTGTGTATACATGCACGTATATATATATATATATATATATATATATATATAATTATATAATTTGCTTTCATAGGGTAATGTTGCTTACCATCTGATTCTGTTTTCAGTTACCTGCCAAGTGTTAGAGCAGATTCAACATCTAATCTCCAAGCAAACCCACCTGATCCCATCCTCCATACATCACAGGGCACCGTCATCTTCACCTCCGACTCCGAGTGACTCTTCTCATTCCTACACGTCGACGGTTCATACCGAACCCTAACCCTGCATGTCACCGCACCGTACAACTCCAACATGCACGACATCTCCTCCATAAGGTCCGTAGCCACCACAAGCCACACTTTGATAGTCACCTCTGCATCCGGATCTCCCAACATATTTCGATACGCCGGGTTAATCCAATACACCCGGTTTGATCCATCAGAAACTAACCAAGGACACGTGTCAGCATCTAGCATCCTCATCACTATCTCATCTCCTTCATTCATACGGCTTATCTTTAGCTTGTGATACCATCCCAAGTCAGTAGACATGACATTCACACACTCTACCGTCAACCACGACTCCACCACCGTCCGATCCAAAGATGATGATATCGTTAAAGCCGTTATTGGATCCATATCCTTTTCAGGAAGCAACTGAAGGGTGGCGATATCACTCCTATCATCAACGTATGTCTCTTTGTCAAGATCCGTTCTTGCGTTCTCTCCATCCCCACGAGCTTTAATATTACTACATAACCTATCTTTATTATTACTGCTACCACTACTAATATTTTTATTCCGAACCCTGACATATTTTCTTTTAGATCTTCGGTTTCTTCCGAGGAATCTGCAACTCTTTGTGTCGCCAGAAGATTCGCCGACAGCTGGTTTTGGTGCGATTGGACGGAACCGTTGCATTATCTTGCTTACAACCGTTTTGTCTTGATCTGTAACACCATCGCGAACAGAAGCTTGCCGCCGCTTTCCGTTGTCCTCCATGACTTGATCTCACCGTCTCTCCGGTAGGGTTAAAAGCTAAGTTAGGAGCTTTGATATAGAAAAAAAGATAGGCAAAAAGAGTTTATAAGTTGAGAGTTCGAAAGTATGAGAGATAGAAGAGGAAAGTAAGGATTTTAACACGTGGCTAGGGCAAGTGTTTAGCGTATGAGAATAAATCATTTTATGATTGGTTCCGCATTTTTGCTATCGGTCCCTCATCAAATATGCGTTTCAACATATTTATGTTGCCAACAAAAACTTCATACACGAAGCGCTGGCACACAAACAAAACAAAGATGTGACTAAATGAACAGCCAATCAGCCATGCATATACACTAAACGTATTCGAACTTGTACTATAAACAAACTGATTAGATCATTGCACGTATACATATTTATATATATATATATATATATATATGTAGAGTACTAATTAAGTACCCCACGATGTGAATTCAACCCTATGTTTTACTATAAACCGAAATTATACGATCAACGGATCAAAATGTCTATGTTTATACATATTATCAATATATACGCTAACTTTTATAAAAGTAATTACTAAATAATCCACAATGTAAATGTAATTACTCTCTACCTCCTTTGGTTTAGATCAACAATATATATAAGAACATGTATTAGATGAGTTTCTTAAGAATGTCTCAAAGATAAAAGAAAACCTTACTGTTCTTCTTTTTAGTTATTGTTTTGTTATTTTTCTGTCTATATATGAAAGACTCGTCAAGAAATGCTGATTGTGGATTCTCAAAGACTAGACTCCAAAATTTGGTTAGAATTATATGAGAGACTAATATAGCTACTTTGTAAATTAAATCGTTTAAAAAAAATAGCAACTTTATAGTCGTTCAGATAAAGCTAATTTGTTTATCAAAAAAGGAAACGAATTTATAAAGTAATACGAGTTGCATTAACGTTAACTAATTACGTGTATATATTATATATATTATATACATCATATACAATCATTTGTTCGTTGTGTATATATATACGGCTTCTGTAGCATACGTATACATATACACACGTGTTCAGGATTACATCGCATCAAACAAGTACAGATAAAATAATAATAAAAGAGAACCAATAGTAAGAGGACTGTTGAGTTTTGAATTTGAAAAGCACGACAAGATATAGATATAAGCGTATCTATCTTGATGAGGGCTTTGATATCTTGGTCCAAACAGAGTGCTGGACCAATCAGCCGCAACCATCTATTCCACCACTATGGAAAAGCTAAACTCCACGTGGACCTTCTCCTCACCAATCACTCTTCATTCCCCACCACATAATGTCTATATATAATTTAGGACCATTTCTGATAGGTCCATATATAGAGAGATACGATTTGGGTTTTATTCTAATGATCCGTATTTTATTTTATTTTTGAAAAAGAAATCCGTATATTTTAAATAGTTGAATTTCAGCTGTTGCATAAAAATGACGATACTGGTGTTGTTAAGAAAAATGACGATAGTGGTTAACTTAATTCGAGAGGAGACTAATCCGTTGGTTAAGGGGCTTACACTTTTGTATCGCATTTTTATATTGTGATTGAAGTATGTTATATTTAGATAAAAGTTATAAACAAACAAAATAATACGGTTGGCTATTTTGAAAGCAAATTTAATTATTAAAAATTTATTGTTTAGCTCTTTGGTCGTAACCCGAATCCTAAAATAGACCGAATGATTGGATGACATGTTCTATTTTCATGCATTAGAAAAATACTTATTACACTTGCTTAATGCTTCAAAATGAAAAAGAAAATAGAAGGCCAGACATTGTTTTTAAATTAGACATAATATTTAGCCTAATATTATGTGTTTAAATTAGAAACATTGATTATCATATTATACACAGAAGAATTAATTCACGAATTTGAATAGTTGACAAAAAGTATATAGAAGAATTGGTTAATGAATCTGTATGAAATTACGAATATAACGAACAATTGAGTAGGAAAAGTTTGTGTGTTTATAATTTGTCATCGATTTTCATTATCAATACTCACAAATCAAATATTAGGGGTTTTAAAGCGTTCGATGTTTTTAAAACAAGATCCAAATTTTTTTTGTGAACTTGCTTTAATTAACCTTCTACGAACCTAAGCATTCCACTGAATGGACGACAGGACGAGAGCTTAAAGTATATTCATTATGCCGAATATTTGTTTTTTTTTTTGAGCAATGCCGAATATTTGTTTGGATGCACAACAATGCTGAAACGAGAGAAGCAAGACAGCTGGCAGTGACAAACACTCTCACAAGTTGGGATGATGTACTCTATTTCTCTTGGCTGTTGCAGCGAGGTCGACTCAAGCTTCAACAAAACCTTTTCTTTACTAGCTTAACTTATGAGGTTTAGCGCGTGAAAAAGAACCGATTCAGACACACACAAATTATTGCCTAAGTTTTTAAGCCCATCCATCTTTTCCCATTAGGTAAACAGTTTATCGAGGCATCCACATTAAGTTTGCGTCCACTTTTTAAAAAACCTGGTTCCAATGATCCCCTGTGAAGAGTTAAATGATTTTTTTTTTGGCATCACTAGATTACTAGAAAAACACTCCGGAGTAAATAAATCTATTTAAGCTTTGAATAATAGTTGAGACCTCTAACTTTTCCCACTTTTATTTTTATGTATCTAACATAAACACTTTTATAGTTAAAAAAAAAATTCATGTGGAAATTGGTTAGCTTACCTCTTATTAGAACAACTATTAATTAGAGTCTCGTCACCAAAAATCATACCAAAGGAAAAATATAATTAATAATTTATACCATAAAGAAAAAAGAAATTAATATTTTATAGTATATCGGTTTTTGGTTTAATAACTATCTTATATAAAATAAAAGATTTAAGGAAAAAACCTAAATAACGAGAATGAACAATACAGAATAAATAACCTAGGGAAAAACTACAGTGGCACTATTTAGCTTTTAATAATATTTTGGATATTGTACGTAATTCTTTTAGTGGCTAATTCTTTTTTGCAGACTTTCGTTGTTTCGAGAAATAAAGACACGTGATAGGCTCTTATTTGTTTTCTCGTCAACCAAAAATTCTATCACTGTCATTCTAAAATCCACCAGCCGCGTCACAAAACGTGAGATCAACGCACGGCTAAATTCATCTGACTGACACTTGAACGGTTCAGATTAACAATGTAGGACCAAACAAAAAATTTCCCCCAGGTATGGTATGACGTCAATAGTTGAAAATGATAATTAAATAAAAGGCAAAAAAATCAAAAATGTGTGGAAGCTGATTGGTTGATGTATTTCTCCTCTCAATACGCCACGTGTAGTAATCTTTCTCTGTGCGTGTTTGAGTGTTCCATAACCACTTTATTTATTCACTCTCTTCGATAGATCTTTTTGGTTTTTTATATTATTTGTTTTTTCTTATTACTTTTTGCATAGCCAATGAGAGTTTTCCATATGTAGAGATCCAAAAGCCCACGAAGATTTTTCGATGTGATGCTAATCATCATTATTGGCTACTGTACAATGTGTATGTCTAACATGCGCATGTCGAGACGTCTCTAACATCATCTCATCTATGTATAGGATTAATTAAGTAGATAGCATGCGTTAGAAAAAAGAAGCATATTAGCATGATAAGATTTGTAGTTACAATGACAGATTTACTTCAGGTAAACAGTTTCAAAACGTTGGTGAGAGAGACATAGTTATCCCCAATAGTTGTTATGGATTGCATGCAGTATCTGAAAAATAGATGTTATTTAGATTTATGGCATGTTGATAATTTATTATATATGCGTAAGCGTAAGCCTCTCTTCCCTGTCTTTTTGGTGATAATTCTATTGCATAGTGAAAATTATGTCATTTATATGGTGTTTCCGGTAACGTTATTATGCAAACACTTAGACGCTATATATATGACTGGTCACACCGTAATAAAATATACACTCTCTTGTAGAACAATTCCTTACTAGTACGATTTTTCCATGAAATTATTTTAAGAAAGAATGATTTAAATGCATATACATACACCTAGCTGATCTGCGTGTACGTCTACTGAAAGCTTTAAATTCATGAATGAAACTAAACGATGAGATAAGATTGTTCAATAATTTAGAGACAGAAACACGTGTCAGGACCATGCTATATATCTCGAGAATATTGTGTTTAAAATACACATCGGATTCTTCTCTTTATATGAACTGTCACTCACCCATATTAGTACATACAAATATATGTAGGCTGGTGCATGAATCCATATACAGTATAAGTATAGTAATATAGTGTTCCGATACCGTTCATGTTATCAAGCGACCATATATTACACATATATGCATATCATCTCTGCCAGACATTCGGTCATAAGTTTAAGTGATCACATCTTACATTGCTAAGACTTGTTTGTAATGTTTTATTAAAAATGGTTCTTATAATCGATAAAAATACTGGTGATATTTTATGGCATACAAATTTCTATCTCTAGTATACTGCTCCGAATGTGATAATTTTACAAGACGTAAGAATCAATACAAAAGCCAAAGCCAAGCATTTGACATCTTTTTTATTGGAAGCTTTGCCAATCAATATTTGACATTATGGCAATTTGCAAGCTATATATATAAAAGGTTTTCCACACATAAATTGATTTCGAAAAGACTTGATTCTCAAGATCTTCCCATATATAAAGATTATATAATTTCGTTTCTCTTTTGTAATTCTTATTATTTATTTCCCAGTAAACCACATCTTGATCTTAACTAGTGATTAAGGTTTGAGATTATGACCTTCACCACATCTTGATCATAGTTATTCTTACCTTCTTGCATCTCTTACTCAAAGCCAAAGAGTTAGAGCTGCAGTGGTGTCCAGCCTCCATGCAAATCCACCAAAATCCATCTTCCAGACATCACACGGCACCGTTTTAACATACTTCTTCTCTCTCCACGTGTATTCAAGCCTCACCTTACACGTGAAAGTTCTATACTCGCAAAACGCTGCCGTATGATCAACCACCAACCACACAATAACTTCCGGCAACAAAGACGGCGTCTCTCCCTCAAACCAACCGTCTCCGGTTACTGTCCTACGGTAAGCCTCGTTCACCATCATCACACGGTTCGAACCATCAGATATAAAAGCAGGACACGTGTCTTTATCTATAGCATCCGCAATCTCCTCGTCCGTACACCATACAGCATGGGAAGCGGAACCACCGTTTACGGACTCCACCGTCACCCACGTCTCCACCGGAACCTGATGCACCGCGTCATCTCCGCCGTTGAACTTGAGCCACGTACGGGTTTTACAGGTTTCATCTCCTATTATTGTTTTTACCGTTGGATCGAGATTATTAAGATCCAAACTCAACGGTGTAGATCTCTCCGGCATGAGCTGTAGCGTCACGAGATCTTCCCGACCGTTCTCTGGATCTGTTGGGCTAGATCTAACGTCGTTCTTTGATCGACACGTGGCTTTATTGTTTTTAGAAACCCTAACGTACTTTCTCTTCGTTCTTGTCGTGCTCGTGCTTCCGACAAATGGTTGACCAGTTGTGGTCGGCTTTGGGGCGATTGGACGGTACTTAAGCATGAGAGCATTAATAGAAGTCTTGTCTTGTGCTTTACCGGCGCATCTTAGCGTCCGCCATAACTCGGGTTCTTGATCCATCTCCCTCTCTCTCTCTCTCCTCTTTCTCTCTCACTTCCTTAGCTCTTCACTACTCTCTACCTCTCACTCTTTTTCTCTATATTCTTTCTGTGTCTCTCCGGTGGCCGAAGAGATTAACATTCGGGAATAGAAGAACGCCACGTGTCTAGGGCAAACATATGATGAATACACTTGAATCAGTGGATGTTTAAGTGCATTCACTATTTTATATTTTTTAGAAACTTTTATTTTCCGATAGAAGGAAAAATAAACTATAAAATTTGCCTTCAATTTTTTTTTGCTTACGATTTATAGGAAAATAGTTCGACTCGAACGAATAACTAGTAATAGGTTCTTTTATACTAGTACTAGTTATGTTTGTCGGCATTTAGCTAGTATAATAATGTCAATCAGAGTAGGTGTCGTTAATTACTGGCTATATCTAGGGGTCACTGTAGCTGGTGTGATTTATTGGCTGAGATTAGGTTTAAATTTGTTAGTAGAATGTCCTTAATACTAAAAGGGACATTCTATGAAAGGGTTAAGGGTACACCTAACTAATATTTACAGGTCATTTTCTGGTTCGTAAGCTTGATAAATAAATTTTTTTTTGTGCTATATATAGACTGGTACACGTGTATAATTTTCTTATACTTTAATTTATACTATCCTAAATACATTTGTAAGAAGTACTAGCTAGTGTAAAATCATGTCTAAGCCGTATAATATAGTAGACTCGTTTGGCTAGGGCTTATATTTTGCAAGCTACGAGTTTTGGAGAGTACTTTAACAACTAATATGTATTAAATTTAATTAGTTAGAACTGACAAGTATACACGCTCCACATACAAAGGTGTATGTATATCCTAGTTAATATATGTTTATTTATGTGCGTTTGCTTGAGTTCATATATGCGTAGGAGTGGTCAAATACTCAAATCCAAGAAAGAAGCCAGAAAAGCTTGAAACAAGGACTTATAAAAAGTGTGAGAGCTTAGGTTGTCATGTGATTACTACCGTACTGAACTGATGAGTGACTCTTTGAATCAAATATAGGAATAGCTAGTTACAAAAGAAATTTGAAATACGACAATCATAAAACGAACATAGTTGTATAAAATATTATAGACTATGATATATGTATATCATTATATGTGCATTTTAATTAAAGTATAAAACAATTGGATATATTTTTGTATAACAGAAATCCAAGAAACTTTGTTGTTATTTAATACAGATTCTCATTGTTAACTATCTTATAAGAATTGTAACACTATTTGTTCGCAGTATTCATGTGGTATTCGAGTTTTACACGCACACACTCTTATTGTATGACATTGGTAGACAGAATGTTGTTCCTTCCATTTTAATTATTCGGTTTCAGTTCTGGCTTTGATTCTGGAAATTTTAGTTTTCAGTTTTATGTATTTATAGAAGCTGTACGGACACCAAATGGGTCTATACATAATATTAGTTATAGCTCTAAGTGGCATGGTCGATTACTTAGCAGCAGTTGTTTATCTAAAATATCTCAAACTCGAATCCTAAACAGAGGTGTTGAGATTCGAGATACATTACTTAAGCTCTCCGTCTTAAGAACATTGTACTTTATTGCAAAATATGTATGGTCCAGCTCGATTAATATTAAATTGGAAGAAAACACATAGAAATATAAATGAGACTATAAGCAATAGGGGTATGTATACTATATATCCATCCACATACAATCATGGACATAGGTCCATATGATAATTTAATTGGATGGTTATCCAAAGTTTAAGTACCCAATAATTCTGGGAACTAAGATGTGTGATTTGATTGGTTTTATTTCTCTTTATTAATTCAAATTAGTTATATGATAAAATGGCTGTGTGGGTTCCACGATCAGGCTAAAACAGCATCTGTTGTTTTTACCTTATTTCAAGACTCATATGGTCCTTCTCCTCCCAACCAATCAAAATGCATGAAGTGTCCTCCATTTCAAAGTCGAAAAAGCTGTCATGTCAGAGTATATTTGGAAATATATACGTATAACATCTATCCTTATCTACGTATCTATCAAATATATCGAAGTTTAAAACAATAATAAGCCAATGGTGTTAAAAAAAAAAGCAATAAGCCAATAAGGTGTTTCTATTTTTGTTTCGTGGTTGGACATTTGATATAATTCCAATTCAAGATGACCATTGTCCATTGCAAGCAAATAGTTAGAGTATATATATAATAATTACGAGAAGATACAATATATTGAAAAGAAAAGAGTTATTACTAAAAAAAATGAGTGGTAGCGTAGTGGTGAAAAATGCTTAAATCTTCGTCTTCGTAGTAGATTTGAATTGTTCCTTCCCAGTTCTAAACCTGGGAAAAAATGTCATTAACGTTTTTTAAGTTACAAATATATTTAGAAGTGTAAAGCAATAAGCGAATATATACATATAAGGTTTGTTACTGCAGTGATTTTGTTTTATTTTCCAGTTTTTATTTGGTTGGGTTCATTAATTAGTATGGCTGTATAATTTCTTTTTGCCAAAGTCATCTTTAGTTAGTTTCAGCTTCGTTTGAACAGAATTACTATTATGCTTGATGTGTCAGCACAATTAGGGATTGGGCACAAATACTTGATATTCGGCTTCTATTCGCTATTTGACTCGGTTCGATTTGAAAAAGAAGTATTTGTTACAATCGAGTCGAGTAACAAGTAAACGGATTTTATTATTCGCAAATACAAGTCAAGTATCAAATTCATTTTTATTTTTTACTATTTGGTTTGTTACTTGTTATCATTTACTTATCCCCTTATTTGTTATATATTACTTGGTTTATTAAATAGTTAATATCTATTTTTATTTTTAATTAAAATTTATGTCTTATATTTTATTGGTGACTACAATTACTCATTATTTGCCTCTTATTCGGTACTTAATAAATATGATCTTTAGAAATTAGTATTTATTATGAACAATTTAAGTATCAAGTAATTTATTTAAATTACTTATATGTATAAAGTAAATATTAAATAAATTAATTATTTGACATTGTTTTGTTTGTTACTTGTGTTTGTTAATCGACAAAGATATATTTTCTTAAATCATAGTAAAATAACTCATTTCTATTTCTATTTTCATAAGTACATCAAACATAAGTGTTATATCTATATAAGCATTTTGAAAACTTTTCCTTTTTATATAGTCTATTTTTCGAATGACTTAAATACAAGAAAACAATAACATATTATTTATATAATAAATTTATTTAGCTTTAAATTCTAATGAACTATCAAATAATTTACCAATAATTATGAATGAATCTATAAGTAATTTACAAGTAACAAATAATAAAATAAGTCAAGTTGTAACTTACAAGTTCGTCAATTTTTTGCAAGTACTTGAAACTGTAAGTATTTGTTTTTAGCAAATCAAGTACAAGTCAAAATATTTACTACTCGTAAAAGTCAAACCGAGTATTAAGTATACCAAAAATACCGAATACTCGGCTTGTGACCACCCTTAAGCACAATAGGCTTTTTCACACCACGAAACTAAACTACTTTAGGTTTTATATTGATTTTAATTTTATTTCAACATTTTGAATTTTTTATTTTAATAAAAAATATAATTTAAAAAAAAAATTCAACTACCATAATAAGATGTGATGGTTCAATTCATTAGTTTAACTATAAAATCTTTTTTGTCAACTTTTAAATTATCTTCTAAAACTCACCAAATCCTATTTGACATATTTTATTGACAGAATTTATATTTTTATAATAAACTTATATTATTTGATGGAGCTATTCAACTAACTATTTCAGTTATAATTTTTAAGTTAAAAAAATCGATTGTATTGTTGAATTGTAGATGCAGATTTTTGAATTGTTCTGTATCATTTCGCAAAGTGTTACATGAGATACTGCATGCATGTATGATAAGAGTGTCTAGATTTTGATCCGCATAACCGTGCAAGTATATATTTTCATGTGTATATATAATTTTTTTTACGGATTAATATATATTTTTAATGTAAGTCACATATTTAAATGTTTTTATAATTATTTGAAATATAATAATTTTATAGTTTTTATGTTGTAAATTCAAATCGTCACATATATATGTTTCTTCTTATTATATATTTTTATTGAATTTGCGTGTGATTATTAAACCAATTTATTATGTATGAAACAACATATTTGAAAATGTTTATAATTTATTATGATCGAAACCCGTAATTCGAAACGCTAGATAAGCAATTTTTAATATTTATTCATTTTATATAATAAATTACTGTATATAAAAAGTTTAGATAAAGTGACTTTTATATATGAACTATATAGTTTACGAATGTTAACCCATTTACGAACATATTATATTTCAGAATAAATATTTTATATTCATTAATATAAATATATTAACTTATTAATTTCAATTTTTTATCATATTTAGTTCAATATAATGGTTTTCTTTTAAAATGATGGATATTATTAGAAAATAGATAAAATAAGATATAATTTTATTCTTTTAATTTTATAAATATATTTGAATATATATATATATATAAATATATAATCTATATTAAGTATAATAACATTTCATGACTAGTAATAAAATTAGTGAAATTATTTATGTTCAATTTTTGACAATTAAGATCTTGTTATAATTTTTTTCAAAAGATTGGCTAGAATATATATATATATATATATTTATAAATTAAAAATATCAAAATATATTATGATTAAATTAGTTAAGAATATTTTATATTATTACCATTCAGGATATACATTTACTAAAAATTAAATGATGGTCTAACTAAAAATATTACACATAAACGAAATAATGAATTTTATTTTAATAGAATATATATATATATATATATATATATAAATATTTAAAATTTAAAAAAATATTTATTTTAAACAAATCTTTTAGATTTTTTAGTAGAATGTATTTTGAAATTAGTCAATTTCATTTTTTTATTTTGAGTGAATATGATTAAAAATATTGAATTTTTAATATTCGTTTATAAACCAAAATTATATTCAATTTTAATTTCTAACTATATTTTATGATAATTTAAAGTAAAATTAACTAATTTTCGAAAGTAAACTTAAAAAGATTCTAAAGAAATTTTTAAAAGATTTTGTAGAACATTTTATATATATTCATTTGTATTTCAAATAAAATGATGGGCATCTAAAAATATAAAGATATTAAAGATATAATAATGAACTTATGTAAAATTTGATTTTTTTTTAGGAATATGTCCAAATTAAAAAAAAATCACACATGAAGTGAAGTCATGACTTCTGTTTTAATATATAAGACTAGATTTTGACCCGCGTTTATGAAACACGATTTTTGTTTTGGTTGTAACAAAATGTATCAAATGATTCGAGTTTTATTATATTATAGTTTTATATGTGAAATTTGATGTATATTTAACCTTTTACTAGGGTCTTTTCATTGAGTTTTTCATAACTGAGTATGTTTGTGGTTGAATTGAGAATTAGAAAATAAAGTGTTGTGGGAGTATGAGGAATTAAAACACATATTAGATTGAAACCAAAATTGGACGGGTCCATGGCCCATAGTAAATTTGAAAAATCAATACTATTGAAAATGCCCAAAATTGTATTACAAATTTGTAGTTAAATCCAATAAATATGTTAATTGAATCATATAGTTTATTTATGTTAGTTAAAATAATTACATCTATGATGTTAGAA